GAGATGTCATTTGTGGCCAGCCGAGCACGAGATTCGAGCCGTCGTCAACTGAACTGCCACACCTAGGCTGTTGTCGACGATCTCAGCTACTGAGAAAACACACAAGTCTTTACTCAGGGGAGTTCCCTCGAACTGCTCTCCAGCTTCAAAGTAGAATGAACGCAGTTCGACTTGGAGGAGCAGCATGGCAAAGTTTTAGCGAAGTTTTTACAGGCCCTTGTAAAAACTGAACTCTTTTGCTGTGACCTTGGACCTGTGGACTCTTTTGCTAAAAGTGGTTCTCTTGCACCTTTTGGCAGCTTACCAGGGCTTGACAAGTCTCATCAAAGTGAAAACTGTCATGACAAGAACAGATCGCAATGCCCACCCTCTCCCAGACCAAACAACGACGTGAAATGTTCCCCCGGAAACACCAAACTGAATGCTTCAAATTCAAGAGACAATTTCATGGGCATCACATATCCTTGTGGTAGTACTGTACCAGACCACACTGTAGGACACCAGCTTGTCAGGCTGGTCAGTCTATGTCTAAGCTTATGCATTGGTAACAAACTACTCGAAGGATTAGGAAAAGAGAGGTAACAGATTGGAACTGCACTGGAATCCAAGCACTCGCCCCCTCCCTTTCCAGATACTCATTTTGGGCACTTTTCATGGAGCATAACTGGTAACGGTGGAGTACTCATTGATCCACAGCTCTTCTACAACTGTTCAGGTTCGACTCCCACCTGAGTCCATCTTTCTCTGAGCTCGGTAGACTGGTAGCAGGCTTGACTGGTGGGCCTCATGCCTGGTCGTTTAAATTCACTGTGTAGGGTAGATTGCATTCAAAAGGCACTACTATTCTGAATGCAAGTGGAATGCATGGCGCGTTCAGGGAGCAGATCGGAGAACGGCGGAACTTTTTATGCACATTGTATGGTAAAGAATAAGCAAAGGTTGAGGTTCAGGCGGAGGTGATGTAGTGGCAAGTGACACGCTTACCACGCGCGCGGTCCGGGGTCAAATCCCGGATCGGCTCGTGCCCAGGCCAACCAAGCGTTGTACCATCTCCGTACGATAGAGTGCTATGAGACTCGTCTGGAAGGATAAGAACACTTATTTGTAAATCGAATGGCCCCTCGCAAACCAATGTTTAGGCCTTAAGCATTCAGCAGCCACTACGATTCCTGAAGGAAGTAGAATGTTTGGCGCATCCAGGGAAGGGATCAATAGCAGCAGCTTTAGCTTCCTGTGCTGCATGATAGTTGATCTAACAGAGGTGGGTATAGCGGTATACCATTAGGGAACGATTTCTGGGATGGCTGAATGCAGCCATGCTTAGAGGTGAACCCGCAGATGAGACCTGAGATTTCCCATTACTACACGTCCTACGCTTTTTACATTCCTCCATGGCAGGAAGGAAGGAGGTGAGCAGATAGTCACTAGGGAGGGGCGAGATTATTGTGTTGTTTTTGGGATCGGGTCGTATTCATACTAATTAAAAATGATTTTACTGAGTGGTAACTTCTGGCCACCATACCTGCCTCCTACTTCCCATAGCGCAGAATGCATTACAGTAGAATAACCGCTACTGGATGCAGTGGATGGAGAAGAAAACATCGTGCCACTGGAGGGAGATGAAAACATCGCTATGTAGGACCATGAATTCCTATTTTGGTCCTAGCGATGTTTTTTTAGAGCCAACAGAAGTATAAACTCCGTACATCCCGAGAATGGGGGCAGTTGGCTGCCATAAGTTACAATTAAACTGTGTATATGAGCGATTTATTCGTGGGCACCTGTCGAATTCGAGACAAACCATCTTCCTGTCTTGGCCGAAGATACGAGTACGACTGTCTCCTACATAATAATATCCCACTAGAAAAAGCTGCTGCTGTAAATGAAGCGCGTGGTCAATCTCAGCGATCTGGAGTGTACCCATTTAGTTTTTGTTGCAAGTTAAATTTCCTGTTTCAGCACGACCGGCATGATACGGCATTTGCGAAGCTGTCATGTGCAGGAATACCAGCAGGTGCAGGAAGCGCGACAATCAACTCCTGATTCTGAAAATGGGTAAGAAATTCGATATTGAAGTACATAATTAATCCCTTCAGGTTATATTTGGCACTGTAGTGAGATACTTCGATCATAACCAGTTTTATTAATGGTCATGACAAGCTGCGAAGGTGGACGCGCGATATCTTTCCCACCATGAACCACTTTTTCAACGATCGTGGCAATCTCACAACGTGGTCTGGCGCTTCTGGTCACGTGGCGGTGCTATAGCAATCTTAGCGCTGTTCGAAATGGGAGGGGCAATTTGTATTTCCGCTGCTTTCTATTGCTAGTTTCTGCTAATTAACAAGTTGAACAGTGGTGAGACCTGTATGCCCTTGTGAAGCTACGAAATGCCATAAGTGAGCCGCTTTGGTAATGGGAGCTTTACAGGGTGGCCTGTGAAGGCCTACACTGACACCATTGATGCCCCCTCATCACCAAGCCGACTTCGCCAGATTTAACGCTACTCGTCACCATCCGTGACAAGCACCCTGTTCTACTACCAGATGGCTACCGTGGTTGGCTAGCAACTACCGTGTCCAGTATTCCTAACGGGTTCCAAGTCACCTCTCTCGGACGACGCCACCAACCTGTATGTTGCGTAATGTAGACGCGCGCTTAGTTCTCGTATGTCTGTTGCGAGTTCGAGCGCACGCGGCGCCATTTTCATCCAGTCTGGAAGTGAAGAAGAAGCAGCAGAGGCAGCAGCAACAACAGCAACGATGCCTATGTGGTCGCCGAGGCCGACACAAGGGGCCGGCTTTCAGACCATCCCAAATGGTCTCGAGCGACCGGTTCGATCGCCACACAACCACACCAGCACATCACATCTCGTTGAACAAAGACCGCGATGCGCACGTAGGCGCTTATTTGAAATAGAGATGCATATCGAGATGAGAACTTTAGAAAAAAGCCAGACCTTTTCAAAAGAAAACGGGGGGTCTGAATGGTGGTTTTTTCCTTCACGAAAATAATAGCACTTTTACACTTAAATGCCTTTCAACGCATTGACAACGAGGTCGTTCTTTGTACGTCTGAAGCGCTGGAAGATGCTGATTTTTGCATCAAAAATAGGTTTCCATACTGGCACATATCGTCTCGAGTTTTTGTGTTGATTTGGGTAAACGCAAAATGGGTACTTGCAGCTTGGCGATGACAGAGAAATCCAAAGAAACATTAAAAAGGCACGATGTCTTCAACCTTCACCGCACCAGTCGGAGAAGGCGCTGGGGTCGAGACGAACGCAGAAGTCAACCGCAAGCTTACCCTCAAAAACTGCCGTTATTGAAGAATCTGCCCTTGACCAGTAATAACTTGAATACAAAACCTGTTCACATGGCCTGAGTGTGTTTGGTGCACTGGAGAAAAGTTTTGCAAATTACCACACTGGCAAATTCTTACGCTAGTACGACTCTCCTCCCTCTCGCCATCGCTTCCCTCGCTTCGCTCGCTCCTCAGTTTTTTTTTTGAAATTACCGTCGAGCGCCGAGGCGGGGTTAAGTGTGAATATAGGCACTGTAAGCCGAAAAAATCAAAGGGAAAAGAATCCACCTGAATACACTTTCCTTGAAGGGTAAACTGACCCTTCCCTAAAGCGACGACATAAGGATTCCTCTCCCCCCCTCCTTGAAGGGAATCCACACGCACGACACTCCCTGAGAATGCATATTGATTATGCGTTACCAGCTATTAACTAAACACTGCTTTTCAGCCTTTACATGTCCATGTTAAGCTCTTTTGAGATGGCGCAGTGCAAATAGCGCTGCTTATACACGCGCAGAAATCGGCGTTCGGAATCTTGATCCTGAACGGGCCCGCATTACCTCCTAGTTCCTAAAAAGCTCATCTTTATGTAGTATATTTTTTTGTCTTTCATCACATCATAACCACTTCAGGCACAAATCTCTGGCCGGAGCGATTGTTCCTCACCGGCTAACAATAAGCCTAAACATCCCTTGTATTCCTCGGGCCCCTCATGTTCGTAACAGGTCTGCCAGGGAATCCAAAAACTTCAGGTTGTTCAAGGCTGTCCGAACACCACGCTGAACACACTGTCTCGAAGAAATTGCGAATTCAAGAAATGCATTCACTGTGTGAAGTAATGCGAAATGCAGGCGCAACCCCGAGCAAATGTGAACTCGGAAGGTCTAGAAATACGTTTGTCGTCTGCAACGTCTTATCCGATCTACGGATTTTGCCGATTAAATGGTTCCTGCTGAAAATTTCTCGATGCCTATCTGAGTCTGATTTACATATCTTCTGGCTCGGGTGGACCACGTTTCTCTGAAAATGGTAAAAGTTGACATCCCTCAAAAATATTACCCGTTAACCCTAAGAAACTGCGACGGCAACAGGTTCAAATTTTGCAACAGCAGGATTATAACTATGGTTGCCGAGCTGTGTGTTCTATTACAGACTGAACGACTCACTACCGTCTCTACGTGGTTATGCGTCTACTAAAAGTTATAACTTGAGCCTTGTGAGGAGCATCCTTGAATTTGCAAGCCACTGAACGCTTCTTTTTACCGTTCTCGTACGATTGCAAGATTACGGCAATTAATTTCAAACTGAAATAATGATCGTCGGGTGGGGTGAATGGCCGGACGACCTCACACTATCAGCTAGCGGAAACCGGCTGCTCGACGAGATGCGCAGCTGTTCCTTTGCCTTATTCCTCTACAGTAATCGACGACTGATGACTTTCAGCCAGCAGGTAACGCCAGCTGGCTGACACATACGTCCATAAGTCCATAAGTCCACTTAACGTTCGTTCAAACTGCTGCCAAGATTTTCAAAGATGGGGAGGGGCAAAAACTGGCGACTTCAAGGTGAACAGTAGAAAGTAACCATGATTTCCTGGCTCAGCTTTCAGGCAGACCACAGGCCTGAGAAGGGACCAGAACTGGAGTGTGAAGACTTCTTGTGGACCAGAAAACGTTCTCATTTTTCTCATTAAAAACATGTTTTCAGAGGAAAAAGCCCGAGCACAGCTTCTGCGCGAGATGAACACACAGGTGGCGTCGACCATGGTTGCTCATATCGCCAAGAAGACGTCGCCGGAGCCACAGAAGAGTCCCTCTGGTATGTCAGGCACCGATTAACATCATCTGACACCATAGTCACCTTTCCTAGCGTCTTCGTCGGCCAGCGACACTGCCTCGTCTGTGGCATCATCACTCTTTGGACCCGCTCTACCTCCTCTTCCGCCGCTTTCAATCGCACCGGCGGGCCTTCCTGCACCGAAACCGCTGAAGATCTTTGCACAACCAATGGCCATCAAACAAGATGCCACAGAGGTCTGCAAAAGGCTAATCTAAAGTTCTTTGTGAGTTTAGTGGAACTTTCCATCGTGACAAAACCCGTTTCAGGTCGAGGATGACGTGCACGAGCCAACCGATCTCAGCGCCAAGACGTCTGCGTTTGCGGCTTTGGGACAGAAAAAGCGTGCGGACGAGATCGAGAACGAGATAGATCAAAGACCTCCGCCTACACCACGACATTTCGCACTACGTAATGTTGATGAGCGGAAAATCAACGCTCAGGTGAGTCGTGACAAGCTGGACTCGGGGCCAACCTGCGCGAGCTCACTTTATATGGACTAGTTCCTTTACAATATACCATATATGCTTTTGCTTAGAATCCTTCTGGAATTTGCTGAATAAACTTCCAAAAATTTCAGCCATTTCCCACTAGCCATCGGAATTTGAGCAGTATCTTGCCTGATATACGAGGTGATAGAGGAGCGCGCGGTGGTGGCAGATGTTCCAAGAGGGAAGCGCCAGCCGGCTGCCGGTCGTCCTCTTTTTCTCGGGCATTTTCCCCTATTGACTCAGTCAGACCTCAACACAAACGCAGGTGCTTGGGCCGAGAGACAGACAAAACGCGCAGCCGCTTCGACCGACGACTGCTGGAATTTGCCGAGCCGAGACCATCAGCCACGTGCCGACTTTTTGAATTTGTGGGGACCATTGCTATGGTTTGAATCGTTTGTGCAAG